TTTGAGAAAGTGAGCATGAGTGGGAGAGGGGAGGAGTGGAGTGGAGAGAGAATCTGTCAGCGAAGAGCCTGAACCCACAAACCATAAATCAAGTGTCAATCCACTGAGCCACCTAGGCATCCCAAGAGTTCTTTATGTTTGGAATATAGGTCTATAGGGGCTCAAAGAATTTGGGGGCTGATCAAGGAAAAAGATATAACCACAAAAGGCAATGACACCCAACAAATTTTACCGAGTGGTCCTTGGAGGGGAAGGTCCTCAGCTCACAAGACCTTCTAGAAGCTTGTGGTGCAGAGGCCACCATCCTGAGGGAAGGACGGCAGAGTGCTCTGGAAGAAAGGAGACAGAGGTGGGACAAGGGGACTTAGGTGTCTAGGTGAGGTAGCACAGCTTGTGCATATGCCAGTTGAGGGGGAGGGGCATGGCTCTGGGTCAAATAGTCCCGAATGACTGTGGCAGCCAGAAGGTTCTGGCTTATCAGTGGCAAATAGCTGTCAGGGGAGGTTTTAATGGGGGTATAAAAAGCAGACAGGCCCTAAAGGGCTAAAAATCTGCTTGTTTGGGCTATTTCAAAAATAATGTGTTAAAATTTGAGTCTGGCACCGACAGGCTTTTGAGGTAACTGGTCTCGTACTTGTTTTCAGAGCCAGTGATAAAGCACCTTAGGAATCTTAGGATCCAGAATCTGAGAAGGTCACAAACTAGGATTTTAAAACCCTTTTTTCCCCCCAGCCAGTGTGACCATTGAGGAGTAGAGGGCCAGGAGAATTGGTCCAAAAAAGATGATTTTTATTCATCTGTTTTGTTAGCAGATCAAGATTATGGTGCCTTTGGCATGTGTCCCACACTCTGTAAAACTTGGTGTGTTTACATATAAGCAGCAGCATGTGCTAATGAGCACTAGACCCCTCCCTCCTTTAGCAACCTGCAAGCCATGTGTGGCTGTACTGGTGAAGGTAGGTACTTCTCAGGTAAGGAAGAGACACAGCCACAGAGTAGAGGTTAAAGTTGAAGGTCATCTGCAGGGCAGCTGTTGGTGTCCTAGGACTTGCCCGTATGGTGCTATCCCACTCAGGGCAATTAATTCTGTGAAATTACAAAAATTCAACCAAGTACATTTTATTTGCTATTTAAAAAATTTTTTTTAATGTTTATTTTTGAGAGAGGGGCAGAGAGAGACACAGAATCTGAAGCAGGCTCCAGGCTCCCGGCTGTCAGTGCAGACCCCAATGCAGGGCTTGAACTCACAGACATTGAGATCATGACCTGAGCCGAAGTCAGATGCTTTAACCGAGTAAATTTTAAAGATCTAATTGGCTTTGTTAATCTATTGGTGAGTTGGACAGCATTGCTATCTAGCTAGCAAATAAAGGAGAGCTCCAAAGGGCTACAGAAAAGGAAAGGATTTTAAAGAAAGAGAGGGAGTGGAAAAAAGGAAATTATCAACAAACGCATTGTTTTAGGCAAGGTCGCAAGGTGGTGCTCCTAAGGGGAACGGAAGGGTCTAGCAGTAAATTTCCTAGTGCTGACTAGGAAATTCCCATGTTGACCAGGTAAAGGTTCTGTTATGGGGGAGGGCTGAAACTGCAGTTAGGTTAGGTCCCCAAATCACTAAACCAAGCCATAATACCTAACTTAAGGGACACCGTTTGGGGCCTGTGGTTCTTTTTCATGGTTCTACCTCCTGGGGGTCAGGAGCAGGCCCAGGTTCATTCCACCACCATTAGTGGAACAGAGTGAAGAACAAGGTGCTAGAGAGGACACCTCTCTCTGGTAAAGTTTTTACTATGTAGAATGTGTTAGTCAAATCAATAAACCATTCATTCATGTTTTTTGAATGTATCCATTAAAAGCAATATCTAGTAGAGGAGGTCTAATGAAAGGAATAGCCCTTTTTAATTCGCTGTGGTCTATAGTTAGCCCGCACTCATATGGTGGCTTTCAGCACTGGCGGTCCCAGGGAAATGAAAGGGGGGGGGTGTCACTACCCCTTCTGTAACTAAGTTGGCTGTGGTAAGTCTTCACCCTTCAGGGTCCTGCCTTACAGGTAGGCCCCAGCAGCTGCTGCCCCCCCACAGAGCTTCCTGGGGCTGTGGCAGAAATAAAACCTGAGCTGGATTAGGGAGCACAGGTCCACAGTGGACTGCCAGAGCCTTATGGGAATGTTTACAAAAAGAAGGGGCTAAAAAAGGACTAGGTTTATTATTTCTATGGTTTCTCAAATTCTTTTTACCCCAAATCCAAATTAGAGTAGTCCCTTTATTAACTTTTATTAAACCTTCATCCAATTACCTTAATTTGCATGTGACCTCTGTCTAGTCCTGGGACCTTGACTACTGTCCACTCCACCTCCAAGGAGGAGGAGGAGCTGAGAGGCAGCTATCCCCATCATCCTTCTCCAATGGGTAGATTTCCTTTCAGATTACCTACAAGGAAAGGACAGTTACTTTTCCGAGGGGCCCGCACCTTGCAGCTCTGTGTCCTGACCTCCACTTCGGCAGGGGTCCTGTATTCCATGTGGAGTCCCTAAGAAGTTTACGAATAAGGCACGTGGCATTTGTTGACTTGTCTGGATTTATCCCCCCCTCCTTTTTTTTCCATTCCCCAATTTAGAAGGTTTCTTTTTAATTCTAGCCACCTTAACCATGGATTTTTAAGGGTTTTTTTGCATCTGCAGTTTTGAACAATGTTTGGTGCTGTGTATAGAAAGTTTTCTCTGCATATCTTGATCACTTTTTTTCTGGAACATGAAAGCTCAAAGCCAGTTTAATTTTGTCTCTCTTTAACTTAGGTTATTTAGAAATCACAGGTGCTGTGGGATCCTATTTGCTCCTGTTTCCTTTGACAGATTACATTCTTTGTTCTCATGTACAGTCTATGTATTTCACATACTTTTCCTCTGTCACATCTTTGTCTCCATTGCCACATGTTACCTTTATAATAGAGATTCTACTCAAGAAAATGACCTCACTGCCTTTCCTTAGTTACTGTGGCAACTTTTTTTTAAAATTGAGGTAAAATTGGTATATAATGTATTAGTTTCAGGTATATGTTATGGCTACTTCTAAATCAATTTCCTAAATGTCAATGAAAAAGGATCTTTTAAGAATATAGACCTATAGGGGCACCTGAGTGGCTCAGTCTATTAAGCATCCAACTCTATTGGCTCAGGTCATGATCTCATGGTCTGTGAGTTTGAGTCCCACATCAGGCTCTGCACTTTCAATGCAGAGCCTGCTTAGATGCTCTCTCTACTCCCCCTCAGCTCTCTCTCAAATAAAAATTAAAAAAAATCTATAGATCTATAAAACATAGGTCTTTTTTTAGCATTTGTTAAAAAACAAAACACATGGGGCACGTGGGTGGCTCAGTCAGTTAAGCGTCCGACTTCGGCTCAGGTCATGATCTCAGTTCGTGGGTTCGAGCCCCGTGTCGGGCTCTGTGCTGACAGCCAGCTCAGAGCCTGCTTCAGATTCTCTGTCTCCCTCTCTCTCTGACCCTCTCCTGCTCATGCTGTCTCTCTCTCAGAAACAAATAAAACGAAAAATTAAAAAAAACCCACATGCATAGGGATTATATCCCACAAATCTCTGTGTGACTTGACACTTTGACTCTCTGCCCTTGGGTTAGTAGTACTCCTCTCTGACTTCAGCCACCCACATTTCCTTTAGTTCTGACTTCAGCCAAACATGCGACTGTCCTAGACCTTTCAGGTGCTATTTACAGTGTATCTCAGGTCAACTTCTCCACCCAGCCTTGTCGTCCCCAGAGACCCGTCACTGGGCTGCTTTTCCTTTGTCCTCCAGGTCACAGCTTAATTTGACTTGGGTGCCTGGATGGCACAGTTAAGCATCCTACTTTGGCTCAGGTCATCATCTCATAGTTTGTGAGTTCAAGCCCCCCATCCAGCTCTTTGCGGTCAGTACAGGGCCTGCTTAGCATCCCTCTATCCCTCTCTCTCTGCCTCTCCCCTGCTCTCACTCTAAAAAATAAACCTTAAAAGTTTATTTTGACCTAGAGGGGATGGAGGGGGGGAGCACATTAACAAACCCATACTGCTCACCGAGAAATCCCCCATTGAGATTACATTCCCATTAGAGTCCTATTTACCCACTCAGGTCATCTTTCTCCCAGTCCTCTCCGCCTCTCAAAGCCAGGATGATAGACCCATGGCTCTTAGGCTTGATTTATTAGTACTCTGTCCCCTGAACTCTGAATCCTCAGCCAGGGATACAAACCTAGGGGACAGTTCTTTATCGCCTCCATTACAGTGGCTGTGCTGATACAGAAATTGAAACTTTCATGTGACTTGGCTTTTGCTATATTTTCTATTTCCTAGTCCTCTTGGGCATTTTTTTTATTACCATCTATATTCTGAGTCTCTTCTAGCTACCTTTAAGTATTAACACCTGTTTTTCTAATACATTTATTTTTTGCTTCCATTTTACAGAATTTATTTTTGCTTGGTTATAGGCAAGAATAGTGACTAATCCTGGTGGCCTTCACCTTTTCAATTATTTATTTTGAAAGATTTTTAATTTTTTAAAGTAACCTCTACACCGAACATGGGGCTTGAACTTATAACCTCGAGATCAAGAGTTGCACACTCCACTTACTGAGCCAGAAAGGAGTCCCTTAAATTTTTAAGTAGGCTGCATGCCCAACATGGGGGTCGAACTCACAGCCCTGAGATAAAGAGAGTTGTGCCTTCATTTTTAACCCAGCCTCAATCTAAAGTTATACTTTCCCCTCTAATATGCTCCTCTTGAATTGATTTGTGTGCCCATTTTACTACTTTAGTATTTGATACTGTCCCTGATGGCAAGGACAAAGGATATGTTGCTCCACATTCTATCTGCTACAGTGTCTGATTTACCAAAGATAGGGAAGTCATTACTTCTTTCCCAGTATCACTAAAATAATCATTCTGAGTTTGCAAACTGAATTCTCTTTACTACATTGAGGGAGAGGATGCAAAGTTAATTCCATTAGTTTCCATATTACATATGCAAAGAATACATCACCAGACTGCTGGACTCACGACTCTTTGACACCACACACACTATGCTCATGTTATCACATACTGCTTTGGAGACATAGCTGCCAACAGAAAAAAAAAGGGGGGGGTTAATTAGTGGACAGAAGGGAAAGTAGTTATTTTTATTGTTGATACTAAATTTGAACCTGACAAAGATACCTTTTCCCCAAATCAATTGGTTCTTCGATCACTGAAGTCACTTAGATTTGGTTTTGAATGGCTGCACAGATCTGGCAGTTATGCTGGTTATTATTTGCAGGAGTAGCAATCTGAACCTACCCTGAGATAGCACTGCCAGAATTATCAAGATCATCTAGCAAATCAGAGATATTATTTAACAATGAGAATATTTTTATTTTAAAATAGAATTCTGTTCCCTTTGACTATACCTGCTCTATTCCAGGCAAATACCTAAAAAGAGGTCATACCTCCCTCCCCATGGGGTAATGGGGAGGTTGTGAAGCATGGCCCTGTCAACTCTTCTCATCTTGTATTAAGGAGGTAATACTCCTACCCCTCTTCTCCAGGAGTCCAGAAACTGGGGGTAGAGTTCTTGTAACCATCTCTGCCTTGCACTAACGCAAGCAAAGGTGGCACCTTTACCCCTCCCCTGGGGAGACTGTGAGGTGGAGCCCTGTTGACCATCTCCTCCCCTGCACTAAGGTGAGTAGAGGGAGACTCTTTCTCTTCCCTTCAAACACTGCAGAGACAAGTAATAGCTAAAAACTCCTCAAATTTGGTATACCTACAGATTGAAAAAGTTGATCAAACCCAAACAGGTTAAATTCAAAGAAGTCTACATCAGACATCAAATTTCTGAAAACTAAAGACAAAGAAAATAACTTGAAATCAGCCTGAGAAAAAGGACACTTCCTCTATAGAAAAACACCACTTTGAATGACAGTAGATTTCTCATTGGCTACCATAGAAGCCAGAAGGAAATAGCACATTTTCCAAATGCTGAAATAAGAAGAGTTAATATACCAATTAAAAGATCTTGGGACAATGTGGATAAAAATCATGATGCAATTAGATGCTGTCTACAGGAAACTCACTTCAGTTGTAATCATATAAGCAGATTGGAAGTCAAGGAATGGAAATCAATGTAACAGACAATCAAAAGAGAGCAGGACTAGCTAAATGAATAACAGGTAAAGTAGATCTCAGAACAAAGAAAACTGCCCAGGACCAGGAGGGACATTACACAAAAATAAAAGGCTAACTAAGAAGACAATACTACTAAATGTGTATGTACCAAATGACAGAGCTGCACGATGAAGTGAAAACTAATAGAATTTAAAAAATTTTTTGTTTTATTTTGAGAGAGAGAGAGAGAGAACTCACGAACAGGGGAGGGCACAGAGAAGGACACAGAATCTGAAGCAGGCTCCAGGCTCAGAGCCAGACGTAGGGCTTAAACTCACAGATCATGAGATCATGACCTGAGCCGAAGTTGGACACTTAACTGAGCCACCCAGGCGCCCCAAAACTGATATTTAAAGGAAAAAGAGACAAATCCACATTTACAGTTAGGACATTCAGTGATCTTTTCTCATAATTTGTAGAACCACTAGATCAAAAATCAAAGGATACGAAGGAACTGAAAAAGATAAATCAACCACAATGATGCAGTCAGTTGCCAATTATAGAACATTCCACCCAGCAAGATCAGGATATGCACTCTTTTCAAGCACACACACAAGCTTTATCAAGATTGTTTTATGACCCAGGGTACAGTCTAAATTAAACAGACACATAAAATAGTGGAGAACATACAGAATATGCTCTCTAATTGATTTACGCTAGAAATCAATAAAAAAGATAGTAAAATATCCAAAAACTTGAAAAATAAACTCACTTTTAAGTAATCCATGGGTCTCTGCTCCTGCAACTAATATTACACTATAGGTTAAGTAACTGGAACTTAAATAAAACTTGAAAATAAATAACCCATGGGTCAAAGGGGAAAAGGGAAATTAAAAAGTATATGGAAAAGAGGCACCTGGCTGGTTCAGTTGGTGAAGTTGCCCCACTCTTGGTTTTGGCTCGGGTCATGATCCCATAGTTCAAGAGATTAAGCCTTGCGTCAGGCTCTGTGCTGAAAGCATGGAACTTGCTTGGGATTCTCTCTCTTCCCCTCCCCTGCGAGCTCATGCTCACCCTCTCTGTCTCTGCCACTCTCCAACACACAAAAAAGTATATGGAACTGAGTGAAAATGAAAATACAATCAACTGAAATTTGGAAGTTGCAGCCAAAGCCGTGCTTAGTGAGGAATTTAGAGCATCAAATGCGTATATTTCAATATTTCAGAGGTCTCAAAGCAATAATCTAAATTTCAACCTCAAATATTAGAGAACAAAATAACCAAAGCAAGAAGGGAATAAAAGCAGACAGAGATGAAACTGAGAGCAGCAAAAACAAAAAAAAGACAAATCACCAATATCAGGAGTAAAGGAGGTGATATCAGCATAGATTCTGCAGATATGTAAAAGACTGAAAGGAACAAATCCACACAAATAAATGTAACAAGTTAGATGAAATGACTAATTCCTGGAAAACTGCAAACTACCAAAACTCACTGAGCATAAAAGAGATGATCTGAATGGTGCTATAACCATTAAAGAATTCATAGTTACAGGGCCCCTGGGTGGCTCAGTCGGTTAAGGGTCCGACTTCGGCTCAGGTCATGATCTCATGGTCCATGGGTTCAAGCCCCACATAGGGCTCTGTGCTGACTGCCAACTCGGAGCTGGGGCCTGTTTCAGATTCTGTGTCTCCCACTCTCCATGACCCTCCCTTGCTCACACTGTCACGCTCTCTCTCAGAAATAAATTTTTAAAAACACTAAAAAAAGAATGCATAGTTATAACCTTCCAAAAAAGTAATCTCCAGGCCTAGATGGTTCCACTGGAGACTATTAAATTTTGTTGTTTTTTATTTTTTTTTGAAGTAGGCTTCATGCTCAGTGCAGAGCCCAATGCAGAGCTTGAACTCACAACCCTGAGATCAAGAGTCAGGTGTTTAATTGACTGAACTACCCAGATGCCCCCTATTAAACTTTTAAGGAAGAGGGGCACCTGGGTGGCTCAGTCGGTTAAGCATCCGACTTCAGCTCAGGTCATGATCTCACGGTTTGTGGGTTTGGGCCCCACATCGGGCTTTGTGCTGACAACCAGCTCAGAGCCTGGAGCCTATTTCAGATTCTCGGTCTCCCTCTCTCTCTGACCCTCCCCTGCTCATGCTGTCTGTCTGTCTCTCTCTCAGAAATAAATAAAACATTAAAAAAATAAATTTAAACTTTTAAAAAAATTTTTTAATGTTTTATTTATTTCTAGGAGAGAGAGAGAGACAGCGTGAACAGGGGAGGGTCAGAGAGAGAGGGAGACAGAATTGTAAACAGGCTCCAGGCTCTGAGCCGGCTGTTAGTAGAGAGCCTGATGCGGGGCTTGAACCCACAAACCATGAGATCATGACCTAAGCGAAAGTCAGATGCTTAACCGACTAAGCCACCCAGGCGCCCCTAAATTTAAACTTTTAAAGAAGAAATAATACCAATTCTACATAATCTTTTCCAGAAGATAGAAGGTGAACACTTGCCACTAGTTTTATGGAGCCACCACTATTTTAATGCCAAAATGAGACAAAGACAGTACACAAGACTACCAATCAGTATCCCTCATGAATACAGAAGCAAAAATAATTAAAGTATTAATAAATTGAATCTAGCAGTACATAAAAAGAAAAATACAGTATGACCAAGTGGGGTTTATTTCAGGAATGCAAGGCTGCCTCAATATTCAAGAAAAAAAAAAAATCAATGTAATTTGACTTATTAGCAACCTAAAAAGGAAAAATGAGTGGCACCCAGCTGGCTCAGTTGGTGCAGTGTGCCAAGATTGATCTTGGGGTCATGAGTTTGAGTTCTACGTTGGGCATGGAGATCACTTAAAAATAAAACCTTGGGGCACAGGTGTGGCTCAGTCAGTTAAGCATCCGACTTCACTCAGGTCAGAATCTCATGGTTCAGGAGTTCCAGCCCCACATCCAGCTCGCTGCTGTAAGCACAGACCTGATTTGGATCCTCTGTCCCCCTCACTCTCTGCCCCTCCCTCACTCATGCTCCCTCTCTTTCTCTCTCAAACATTAAAATTTTTAAAAACAAAATCTTAAAAAATTAAAAATTAAATAGAGAAATAATGTTCTTATAGTAATTGATGCAGGAAAATCATTTGGCAAAATTATCTATTGATAAAAAAAAAAACCCTCAGCAAATCAGAACTAGAAAGGAACTTCCTGAACCTAATAAAAGGCAACTAGAAAAACATACAATGAATATCATAATGGTGAAAGACTCAACACTTTCTATAAAAGGCAAGGATACCTGCTTTCTACTCCAATGTTGTTACTGAGGGTTTTTATGTTTTTAAGTAAGCTCTACACCCAATGTGGGCTTGAACTCATGACCCTGAGATCAAGAGTTGCATGCTCTACAACTGAGCCAGTCAGGTGCCCCTTGTTATTAAAAGGTTATATCCAATAAGTCAAGAACAAGGAATAAAATATATACAGATGGAAAGCAAGGGGAAAAAACCCTGTCTATTGACAGATGACATGATTGTATACATAGAAAAAAAATCACAAAATGTTTATAAATCTATTAATAACAGCTATTTGAATAACAGTTTACCAAGGTTGCAGGATACCAAGTTAGTATTTCAAAATTCAATCATGGGGCGCCCGGGTAGCTCAATCAGTTGTGTCTGACTTTGGCTCAGGCCAGGAATTCACAGTTCATGAGTTTGAGCCCCATATCAGGCTCACTGCTGTCAGCCTGTCAGCACAGAGCCTGCTTCAGATCCTCTGTCCTCTCTCTCTGCCCCTCCCCCACTTGTGCTTGCTCTCTCGAAAAATAAAACATTAAAAAAAGTCAATCATATTTCTACATGCTATTAATAAATAGAAAATGGAAGACATTACAGTTTATGTAGCACCTAAACCACTAAATACTTAGGTATACTCTTACAAAATGTTTGCAAAATCTGTATCTTGAAGACTATAAAAACACTGATAAAATAAGGAAGACTTAGTAAGAGACATAAGGTTCATGGATTGGAAGACTCAATTGTGAAGATGATCAGCTGTAAAGATCCCCAAACTTATCTATAGATACAATAGTATTCCAGTATAAACTTCAGCAGAATTGTGTGTGTGTATTCTATTTCTTTTAAAGTTTATATATGTACATATGTAATCTCTACACCCACTGTGGGACTTGAACTCATGACCAGGAGATCAAGAGTCACATGCTCTTCTGACTGAGCCACCTAGGAGCCCCTAATTTTTTTATTTCCTTAAGTAATCTCTAAGACCCACATGGCACTCAAACTCATCACCCCAATATCAAAAGTCACATGCTCCACAAACTGAGCCAGCAGCGTAACCCCCCCCACCCAGAATTTTTATAGACATTTACAAACTTATTCTACAATATGTGTGAAAAACAAGGGAACCAGAATAGTCATAGTAATTGTGCAAAAGAACTGGAGGACTCACATCATCAGATTTTAAAATTTCTATAAAGTTACACTTTCAAAGTAGTGTATTAGAGAAAGGATTGACACATAGACACCTGGAACAAAAGAGTCTTGAAACTAACATATATATGTTATATATACACATTTTTAAATATATGTATATATATATTCAATGAAAAATGTTTTTTCTCCCACAAATGGAGCTAAATAATACCTGTATGCAAAAAGAAAGAAAGAAAGAAAGAAAGAAAAGAAAGAAAGAAAGAAAGAAAGAAACCCTGATCTACATCTTGCAATATAAAATTTAGTTCAAAATAAATAACAGACCAGGGCACCTACATAGCTCAGTCAGTTAAGCATCTGACTCTTGATTTCGGCTCAGGTCACCATCTCAGTCATGAGATCAAGCCTCGCATCAGGCTCCGCGCTAGGCATGGAGCCTGCTTAAGATTCTCCCTCTCCCTCTGCCCTAACCCAGCTTGTGTGCCCCCCACCTCAAAAAACAAACCCAAAATGGATAACAGATCTAAACATGAAACCTACAACTATACAATTTTTACAAAAACATAGGGAAAAGTCTTTGTGACTTTGGGTTGGGCAAAAATTTCTTAGTTACAACATCCCAAACCTCATCTTTTTAGAAAAAAATTAGACTTTATCAAAATTAAGAGCACTTGCTCTTTGAAAGAGAGTGTTAGAGTAGAAAGAAAAACCACAAAGTGGAAAAAAATATTTGCAAATCCTTATCTGATAAAACTTACATTCCAAATATATAAAGAACTATCAAAACTTGATATTAAAAAACAACCCAACTAAAAAATGTACAAAAGATTTGAACAAATGCTTAACTAAAGAAGCTATTTGGATGGCAAATAAGCCAGTGAAAAGCTACTCATCATCATTAGGGAAATAGACAAAAAACTGTAATGAGAGAGCACTATATGCCCACTAGAATGTAAAAATAAATAAAACAAAAATGGAACACCAAGTGAGAATGTAAAAATGTATAGCCCCCTAGGAAAGCATTTGCAGTTTCTTACAAAATGAAGCATACCGTATGACCGGACACTTCCACTCTTAGGTAAATATGAAAACGTGTTTATCCCAGGCTAGAAACAACATGAATGACCCTCAACTGGTGAGGGGATGAACTGTGGTCCATCTATACAATGGGACCTTTTGAAATCTACTGCAAGGGCTGTGAACATACTCTAAGAATTAGCAATTCTCTTTTAGGACAGAAGTTTATTCCTAAATGTCCTTGAAGAATTTAAAAGACAAACCAAAATCCTCACCTGCTATCCATTTATTATTATTTTTTTTTGATGTAGAAATGTAAAATCTTGAAGGGAAGTTTAGGCCACAAAGCAGGGCTTACCAGCTCGGCGCCAGGTTACTCCCTATGTGCTCCAGGTGACAGCAGCTCTTGAGGTATGGGTAACGGCCTTCCTCTTCCCACATGTACACGTGCAGAGAGTCATCCATGGATGTGGTGAGGACATGTAGAGAATCCTTCAAAGGAGACCTGGGATGAGTGGCCCAGAGTCACAGTCCGAGCAGTGAGCGGCGCGGGGAGAAGGGCATACATACCGCCCATACATTGCCGATGGTCCTCTGGTGGTCCTCAAATCGTTGCAGCTGGTGTCCACTGATGGTGAAGAGGAACAAGTACGGCCCACTCTCGAAGATGATCATATTTCCATCACTGGCTTCCATCCAAATCGGACTCTCCATATGAAGTGGCAACAGGAAAGTTGCAATCTGATGGGCTGTTTTCATGCAGAACACACACACTTTGGATCATTTAGTCAGAATGGTATCTTTACATGGAATGAAAAAATATACTTGTTACTTTCATGGGACCTCAGTCTGGTGAGGAAAATGAAGGACAGGCCAGTGACAGATACAGGTCATTGACCACGGTAACGGGTGCTAGGACATGGGAACAGAGGGTGGTGGACAGTGACAGCTCAGGCACTGAGGGGGCATTGGGACCCAGACCCAAAATCAGGATGGGAATCTAACCACATCTGCCCAAGGCGCGCCTAGGTGGCTCAGTCGGTTGAGCATCCAACTCTTGATTTTGGCTCAGGCCACGATCTCACGATGAGAGCAACTCCCATGTGAGGCTCCATGCAGCGCCAGACATGGAGCCTGCTTAAGACATCGATCTCTCTCTCTCTCTCTGTCTCTCTCTCTGTCTCTCTCTGTCTCTCTCTCTGTCTCTCTCTGTCTCTCTCTCTGTCTCTCTCTCTCTCTCTCTCTCTCTCTCTCTCTCGGCACCTGGGCTCAGTCAGTTAAGCGTCTGACTTCGGCTCAGGTCATGATCTCACTGTTCAGGAGTTTGAGCCCCGTATGGGCTCTGTGCTGACGGCCTAGAGCCTGTTTCAGATTCTGTCTCCCTGTCTCTCTGCCCCTCCCCCACTCACATTCTATTTCTCTCAAAAATAAACATTAAAAAATAAAATAAAAATAAAAAAATTTTCTCTGTCCCTCCCCAGCTCATGCGCAAACTCTAAATAAACAAATAAAAACACATCTGTCCAAGAGTAGGGTGGAGTGTAGAGGACAGAGCATGGGCATCAGAGAAGCACAGGCAAGGGGTAGCCTGCAGCTCAAGAAATCCCCTGCCCGCTTCACACAGACCGTTTCTATAGCATTTAGAACTTCAAAAGAATGCATGTGTGAGGGGAGGAGACACCGTGTTTCCGGTGTGGCACTGCCTACCTTGAATGACTGTTCTGTCCCCAGTCTTCTCAGTCATTAGGTCAAAGGTGGTAAATCCCGTCTTTTTGAAAGAGCCTCTTCGGTACATCAGTGTTACCCTGCTCGTCCTCCTCGGGGCCCAGCAGGCTCTGCAGCAGGATGAAAACGGGATAGAGAGGGACAGGGGGCTTTTGCCTTCCGATGGTTTCAGCAAGCACTCTGCGAAAAAGACCTACGGAGAGATTGTTGCACATGTAGTCAGGTGAAGGGGGAAGTAACAGCATCTCTGTGCAGGAGGGACTCCAGAAAAGCCTCCTTAAAAATCCTTATTTTGTGGGACACCTGGCTGGCTCAGTCAGTTAAGCATCTGACTCTTGATTTTGGCTCAGGTCATGATCTCATAGCTGTGAGATCGAATTCCACGTTGGGCTCTGTCCTGAGTGTGGAGCCTGTTTAAGATTCTCTCTCCCTCTCTCTCTGCCCCTTTCCCGCTTGTGTGCATGCTCTCTCTCATTCTCTCAAAACAAATAGACATTAAAAAAAATCCTTGTGTTGTGGGACGCCTGGCTGGCTCAGTCGGTGGCACATGTAACTCTTGATCTCAGGGTTGTGAATTCAAGCCCCACACTGGGCATGGAGTCTACTTAAAACAAAAACAAAAAAACCCAAATCCTTGTTTTGTAGCCAAACTTTATTCTGAATCTTAGGAAGCAGAGTATCATGGCTTGTCACTTGACATCCAAGGACCTCACCATCTTCCTATCCTGCCTGTCGTGGTCATAGAGAGCGAAGTCCCTACAGCCATGCTCCTGGCATGCCACGGAGGTACAGAAGCATCTGGCTGCATTGGAGCCCAGATCAAGTTGCCTTTGGCTCGACAGATCTTCCCTCCTCGGAGAGGGGGTCAAGGGCGGTTTTGCTTTTGCTGCGTCCTCTCGGCTCCTAGCTCTCTGATGCCCAATCCACCTGTGCCATGGTAAAAACAGCTTGGCTCTAAGGCCACGGACTTTCTCCAAGTGCCATTCAGAGGTGGATTCATTTTTATTTACTCGTGGACTTCTTTGTACTTTCTAGCCAAGGTGGAGAAGAGCAAGGAAGGCTAAAGGGAGCATGGTTACCAGAGATTCTCCTCTCTTGAGATCTCCCTCACCTTCCTCTAGCTCTTCCGCCAACTCAGCCTTCTCCTTGATGCAAATTTTCATGAACGAACGTTTGTTTTTGCACCTAGACACCATCACTTCCAAGAACACTGCTTCTTGGCTATCAAAATGGATTCTAAATGTGCTATGGCCTTTGAGAGGAGGGAGCCCTGTGTCTGGTCCTTGCTGAGTTCTGCAGGTTCTCCGACACTTCCTAAACTTCACCTTCCTAATGCCTGACCCTGTCCTCCCAAGGTTAATCCGCAGAGCAACACTTACCCTGGGCAAGATATTCTGATGTGTCCCAGATGCAAAGATCCACTTCTTGTCAGGAGAGCAGCATAGAAGGTCAACATTGTATTTAAATGCATGGACTTTAGAAACACACCTGAGCTCAGGCACTGTCAACGTGTAGATGTCACCTTCAGAATTGCCTACCTGAAACCAAAGCAGCACCACCACATCAATGGAAGGAGACAGGAAATTGATTATAAAGCACACAGAAGGCAGCACGGTCAGCTGCAAAATATCCTACTGTTCTGGTGCGCTTGGGTGGCTCAGTTGATTCAGTGTCCAACTCTTGGTTTTGGCTCAAGTCACAATCTTATGATTTCTTGAGGCTGAGCCTCACACTGGGCTCCATGCTGACAGTGCAGAGCCTGCTTGGGATTCTTGGTCTCCCTCTGCCTGCCCCTCCCCCACTCACTCTGTCTCTCAAAATAAACTTTAAAAAACATTTAAAAAAATTCATATTACTGTTTCTTCCATCACATAATGGAGATTAAAACCTGCCTCGACGATGTGAGAATGAGCCCAAGGAATAAAACTTTCTAAACCCCAAAGCATTCTTCTCAAGGACAGTTGTTCATTAGCACATCAACCCTATTCTTTTTTTTCTGTCTCCCCAAACCCACAGCTCTCCCTCCCTAGACCCTGTCCAAGGTTATGTACTGTACAATGCACACTTGAAAGAAGAGACATGGGTATGAAGTAATTCAGGGAGGTTTTTTTTCATTTTTGGAAGAATGACTAGGGGAATGTACTTGTTGTAGATCAAAGGTCAAAATGGTAGCAATGTTTGTATGACCAAAATTCTTTGGTCTGTTTTGACCCTCAGGGTACATGGCAGGGATGACTCCAAGAAGATAGACTGTGATGTGACAATAATGGGGCCATGATAGTGGCCAAGGCAGCAGGCATTTTGTGGGCCCCCTTCAGATGCAGGGCTTCCTTACCATCAAGAACGGGCCATCCTTTGTGAGACAGACTTCCAAAGAAAAGCAGGCCTTAGATATGGGGAAGGCAGCCAGGGCATCCCGATCCTGACAGTTCCACACTTTGACAGTTCCCTCCAAATCTACAGTGACTGCCAGATGCAGGTGAGGGAGGGTCGCCAGATGCTTGATACTAGACTGCTGGACGGGGCTTGACCAGATCGTAGTACCCTAGGGAAGGAGAGTAACGCTGTATGTGTGCCAGAACTCCTCACACCCGCGAGGCTTTCATGTTGCCAGTGTTTATTTGGAAGTCACCTCCAAATTAGAGACGTTTCTTGTTTCTGGGGGAAAAAGAAAAGAAAATACCCCCCTTGAAGGGATAGTGAGCACAAAAAAAGCAGCAATGCAATATATTCAAATAATGGAAGAGCTCACTACATGACAGGAATAAAGAATGATCAGACTTCTGGGCTCAAATCAGTTCTGGCTCTTTTTTTGGTTTGAGTTTATTTTTGAGAGAAGAGAAAGAGAGCAATCAAGCAGGGGAGGGGCAGAGACAAAGGGAGAGAATCCCGAGCAGGGTCCTCACCGTCAGAGAAGAGCCTGATGTGGGCCTCAAACTCACAAACCAAGAGATCATGACCTGAGCCGAAATCAAGAGTCAGACGCCCAACCAACTGAGCCCCACCAGGCGCCCCATTTCTGCCTCTTTCGAATGGTGCGACATTCGGCAAGTTACTTATCATTGTAGCTTCTTACCTGGTTGTTTACATTTCACAGCACATGAAACATACTTAGAGTTCTGCCCAGTCCACGGTAGGAATCCAAAGACTATGACCTCTCACAACTGTTATTCCATCATCAATCTCGTACATTGCAAATTAGACAGAATGGTTTCCCTTCTAGGTTTTCTTTAGACTTTTAAGAATTGTGAAGTACATCAAAGAGAAGAATATGAAAATAAATGTAAAAATTGTTACAAAGTGATCATATAACTACATTTTTATTTTTGAGAGAGACAGCACGAGTGGGGGAGGGGCACAGAGAGAGGGAGACACAGAATCCAAAGCAAGCTCCACACTCCCGGCTGTCAGCATAGAGCTCCACACAGGACTCAAACTCACAAACTGCAAGATCATGACCTGAGCCGAAGTCGGACACCTAAACGACTAAGCGACGCAGGTACCCCCGTATAACTACTTCTAAGCCAACTTGTACTTGTTCTATTTACTAACCTCTCTACCCTTCCCAAATATAACCACCATTTTGACTCCTAACACTAAGAGGTGCCTGTGTAGCATTATCTATTGGTTTGTAAATCATCCCAAAACTGGGTAGCTTAAAATCAAAAGTATGATGAGATATCACCTCATACTTGTCAGAATGGCTAAAATAAACGTAAGAAACAAGTTTCAGCAAGAAACTTGCAGAGAAAAAGGAATCCTCATACATTGCCGGTGGGAATGCAAACCAGTGCAGCCACTGTGGAAAATAGTACGGAGGCTACTCAAAAATTGAAAAAAGAACTACCATATGATCTAGTAATTCTACTACTAGGTATTTACCTAAATAAAACAAAAATGCTAATTCAAAAAGATGTATCACTCCTAGGTTTATCGCAGCATTATTTACAATAGCCAATATATGGAAGCAGCCCAAGTGTCTGTTGATAGATGAATGGATAAGGAAGAAGTGGTATATATACACAATGGAATATTACTCGGTCATGAAAAATAATGAAACCTTGCCATTTGCAACACCATGGAGAGATCTAGAGAGTATAGTGCTGGTGAAATAGTCAGAAAGACACATACCATATGATTTCACTCATATGTGGAATTTAAGAAACAAAACAGAAAAAAAGAAACAAAACAAGAAAAAGATGCTTAACTATAGAGAACAAACAGTTACCAGAAGGGGGGTATGTGGGGGAATGGGTAAAATGATGGGAATTAAACAGTACGCTTATCAGGGTACCTGGGTGGCTTAGTCGGTTAAGCATCTGACTCTTGGTTTTGGCTCAGGTCATGATCTCACAGTTCGTGGGCTTGATACCCACATTGGGCTCCATGCTGACTGTGAGGAGCTTGTTTGGATTCTCTGTCCCCCATCCCCACCCTGCTCTCTTTGTCTCTCAAGGTAAACAAACATTTTAAAAAAGAAGAGTACCCTTATCACAATGAGCACTGAGTAATGTATAGAATTGTTCAATCACTATATTGTATACCTGAAACTAATATAATGCTGCATGTTAACTATACTGGAAGTTTCTTTAAGTAAGCAAAATAAGTAAAAATAATCTACCCAAAAAAATTTTTGGAGAGGGTTTAAGACAGAAGTTTTTGTTATCTCAGTTTCTTTTAGAAATTCAGGTACAGCTTGGCAAGGTAGTTCTGGCTCAGGGTCTCTTAGAAGGTTGAAGTTGGCTTCACAAGGACAAGACCCAAGATGGTTCACTCATATGGCTGCAAGTTGGTGCTGGCTACTGGCAGTCCTCAATACTTCACCACACAGACCTCTCTGTTAGGGCTTCTTAGGGGTCTTCATAACATTATTGGCTGGATTTCTAAAAGCCAGTGACGCAGAGAGGAAGTGTCTTTTATGACATAGCTTCAGAAGTTATGCACCATTATTTCCACAATGTCCAATTGGTTACAAAGGTCAGCCCTATTCAGTATGGGTGTGGACTACCTAAGATCGGGAATATGGGACATCTTAGAGGCTGGCTGACACAGTCCCCCTGCAGTCCCTAATCACCTCTGTCCTACATGCAAGATACACTCACCATCTCTCCAGTGCCCCCAAATAGCTCACCATCACTGCATCATCACAAAATCTAGGATCTCATAGTTTAATAAGATGAGGCTCTTTAGACTCCGTTCATCTTGATGTGAAAACCTTAGAACTAAATATACAAGTTATCTTTCCACCCCCCTCTCCAGCCCCAACATACAAAGGTATGGCATTATAGGTAAGAATAACATTATAGACATGATCATTAAAAAAGGTGGGGGGATAGGGGTGAAGGGATGGGAATTACTGCTACACAGAAAATCTGAGGGGTGCCTAGGTGGCTCAGTCGGTTAAGCATCCAACTTCAGCTCAGGTCATGATCTCACTGTTCGTGGGTTTGAGCCCCACGTTGGGCTCTGTGCTGACATCCAGCTCAGAGCCTGGAGCCTGTTTCAGACCCTGTATCCCCCTCTCTCTCTGACTCTCTCCTGCTCACGCTGTATCTCTCTCTCAGAAATAAATAAAACATTAAAAAAAAAATCTGAGATCTAGCAGAGAACGTGCTGGTAGTATGTTGATCAGGATGCAAAGCCTGGGAAAGATTGTTCAGGACTCTTGGCTCGATCTTCTGAGTTCTCCTGCCCTTTCCATACACAGTGGCCCAATTTTGCAGGGGAATGGTTTTTGCAGCCAGCTTCTTCCATATAAAAATTCAGGATTCCAAGTCCTCTTCTGTTAGGATAGCTCAACCCCTTTAAGTGGAAACTGGCAGCATTTCTGTCAATACGAGTCTCTGAAAATCTCTGTGGGTCTCCAAAAAACGTATGGAGTTTATGTCATCAGACGAGAGCCACATTCACAAGTCTTTGAGGTAAATCCGGATACCCTGGGCTGCTGCTGGGGGTCCAAGGACAGACTTAGAGGGTCAGGGCTGAACAGTTCTGAGGCACCCCCCCCTCCCGCCCAGATCATTCTGTGGTCTAAAAAAGAATTTTGCTATGTGCGCCTGGGCGGCTCAGTCAGTTAAGCATCCGACTCTTGATTTTTGGCTCAGGTCATGCTCTCACTGTTCTGGAGATCAAGCCCCATATCAGGTTCTGCACTGATAGTGTGGAGCCTACTTAGGATATTCTCTCTCTCTTTCTCTCCCCGCCCCCTCCCTGACTCATGCTCTCTCTCTTGCTCTCAAAATAAACAAACTTAAAAAACAAAGAATTTTGCAGTCACCCCTTTGACCTCACCCTTATAGTATGGTTTACTGACACTGCCCTGGATGGAGATCTTGCCTGGAGTGGACTTCTTAAATTTTAACATCATTTGCCATCTTGAAAGGCTGATTTTCAGAACCAGGAATCCTTGGCTCCCTGTTATTTGAGAGACCTTATGTTATCCTCTCCCTCTTCCGTTTTACTACAAGCAGCAAGAAGCAGCTGGCATTCAGCATTCTGCCTAGAATTTTCCTCAGCAAGATCACTCAATTCATTGGATATATTTGCTAGTTTCCACATTACCCCAGGTGACAACATTGCTCAGCCTTCTGCAGCTATGTAGCAACGACCTTGTTTTCTCCAGGGTCCAATAACAGTTTTTATATTTTCCTTTAATCATCACTGACAGCAGTGAAGCCTGTTACATTTCTGCTAACAGTCTCCTCAAGGTCCAAAGCCCTGCCCAAAGCTTTCCCAGCTGCTTCCCACTGCCTGGTTCCAAAGCTTCTTCCACATCTTAAATTTTGGTTGTGGCAGCACTCTACTTCCAGGTAGTAAAAACCATTATAGGCGGGCACCCGGGTGGCTCAGTCTGTTGAGAGTCTGACTTGATCTCAGCTCTGGTCATAATCCCAGGGTTGTCAGGCTCAACATGGAGTGTGGAGCCTGCTTAAGATTCTCCCTCCCTCTCTCTGCACCTGGGTGGCTCAGTCAGTTAAGCATCTGACTTTGGCTCCGGTCATGATCTCTCCCCGATCATGGGTTTGAGCTCCGTGTTGGGCCCTGTGCTGACAGTTCGGAGCCTGGAGCTTGCTTTGGATTCTGTGTGTGTGTGTGTGTGTGTGTGTGTGTGTGTGTGGTGTGTGTGTGTGTGTGTGTCTCTCTGCCTCTCCCCCTCTTGCACTCATTCGCTCTCTTTCAAAAATAAACATTAAAAACAAAACAAAGCAAAAAGGATTCTCTCTGTTCCTGCCCATTTCATGTGTACACAGTTATTTAAAACAAATATAAAAACGAAACAAAAAAACAACCTCCCAAATAAATAAATAAACCCACCGTTACCTGTTGCTGGCTAACAAATGACCTAGCAGCTCAAAGCAATAAACACTGATCTCCTACAGCTTCTGCTGGTCAACAGTTCAGGAGCAGACTCGCCTCCCCGAGTGGCTCTGCCTTAGGGTTTCTGCTAGGCGGCCACAGGCCGCCTAGGGAGGCAGTGATCTGAAGGACTGACCACCAGCTTCTAAGATGGTACGTTCAGGTGACTGCACGCTGGTGTTGGCCGTGGGCAGAAGGCCCGAGTTCTTTGCCACGTGGGTCATCATCCACTGGGCTGCGTGAACGTCCTTGGAGACGCGGTGACTGGCTTCCCGACAACAAGTTATCCGAGACGGCACCTCTCTGGTTTCTTTTCTCAGTTTATGGAGACATGACAGACTTAGAACATTGTGTGCTTTAGGGGTACCCTTCTAGATTAGCTCATCATTCTCCTGCCACCTCAAATACTCATAAAGGGGTATTTATCATACTTTAGAAGACCCTGTGTAAGAGGCATTATAGTTTTTTTTTTTCAGTTTATTTATTTTGAGAGAGAAAGTGTGTGTGTGCATGAGTGGGGAGAAAGGAGGTTGGGGGGGGAAGACGGGGGGGGGGGAAGCAAGACAGAGAGACAAAGAGAGAGAGAATCCCAAGCAGGCCCTGCATGGTCAGTACAGTGCCTGATGTGGGGCTTGAATCCACAAACCAGGAGGTCACGACCTCAGCCCAAATCAAGAGCCAGCCGCTTATCTGACTGAGCCACCCAGATGCTCCCAAGATTCACTATGTAATTTTCACAGGGCGAAAAGAGAAGTCAAAACAGGGAAAGCCAAGAAACTAAAAATTTGGGACCCATGTTGGGATTTTCCAATTCGCTATCCAGGGACCCTTGCACTATTTTTACTAATCCTGATATGGAAGATCCTGCTGCTCCCTGGCAGTGGTCGATCGGACTTAAAGACCAGTTTCTGAAAAATCCAACATAACCAGTTGCCAGAGATGGGGAAGGATAGGTAGCAAAGACGCACAGCGCCCAGAGTTTCAGTCACTCCACGTTACCAGCCGAAAATAAGTCCTTGCACAAATTTATATCTAGACACACACAATGAAAAGTGAATTTTCTATGTGTCTACAGGCTAGATGACAAGGTCACAGATTACCGCTGAGAAGACCTGCTCTGAGGCCCTGTTCCCATCATCAGTTCCCCCTATCATCTCCCCCTGCACCAGTTTCCTGCATCGAAGAGGATGGACATGGGCGGACGTTACCTGTACATCTTTCATCGCCCAGTCCCCCCTCCTGCACATCCCTCATCAGCCAGACTCACCTCCTGCACGTCCCAGGCATAAAGCATGTGCTTGGATGACACCGTACAAATGACGGACCTCTCCTGTCCATCCATTGTGGGGCCATTTCCTGACAGATAAGCTATAGGTCCTAGGATTCCTAGAAGGAAATAGGCCATACGTGAGGGATGATGCAGTCAAATAAAGGGACCTCTGTCAGCACAGAGCCTGCTTTGGATCCTCTGTCCCCTTCTCTCTGCACCTCCCCTGCTCATGCTCTCTCTCAATATTAAGACATTTTTTTCCTTCAAAATTTTTAATGTTCATTTATTTTTGAGAGAGAGAGACAGAATGCAAGCAGGGGAGGGACGGGGGAGAGAGAGAGAGAGAGAGAGAGAGAGAGAATCTGAAGCAGGCTCCAGGCTCTGAGCTGTCAGCACAGAGCCCGACGTGGGGCTCGAACTCACGAACCGTGAGATCACGGCCTGAGCCAAAGTTGGACCCTTTACCGGCTGGGCCACTCAGGCGCCCCATTTAGAAGACCTGGGGCACCTGGGTGGCTCAGTCGGTTAAACGTCTGACTTCGGCTCAGGTCGTGATCTCACAGTTCTTGAGTTCCAGCCTCACGTCGGGCTCTGTGCTGACAGCTCAGAGCCCGGAGCCTGCTTCAGATTCTGTGTCTATCTGTCTCTCTGCCCCTCCCCTGCTCATTCTCTCTCTCACTCTCTCTCTCTCACTCTCTCTCTCAGAAATAAAACAAAAAAAATTTTTAAATAAAAGACAAAAAATAAAGACATTTAAAAGATGACATATAAAAGATAAAAAAAAAACAGGTACTAGGAATAAAGCAAACAATAGAACCTGTGCTATTTAAGTTTCCTTTTTGTTTAAAATTTTTATCCTAGAAGGGATGGAGCCTGTGGAGAAAGGGAGTCATAACAGGGTCTTGTGACCCCAGGGAACAAGAGAAGAAGTGGGGAGACCAGTGACAGCTACCCGCGGCAGCCCGGTCCCACCCACTTTCAATCATCTTTCTCTTCACTGAATGAAAATATAGCAGGGCACCCGGGGGGCTGTTGGTTAAGTGCCCGACTTCGGCTCAGGTCATGATCTCACGTTCATGGGTTTGAGCCCCACATCAGGCTCTGTGCTGACAGCTTAGAGCCTGGAGCCGGTCTTTGGATTCTGTGTCTCCCTCTTTCTCTGACCCTCCCCTGCTCACGCTGTCTCTCTCTCTCTCTCTCTCTCTCTTAAAAGTAAATAAAAAACATTAAAAAAAAAAAAGAAAATATAGGGGGAAAATAGGATTTCTTAAAATAAGCCTGTCACGTTCCTCCAGGCTGCGCCTAGCCCCATACCAAGGTTCCCAGTTGCTTCTTTGAAGACAAAGTCCTCTGGCTTCGCCAAGGCCATCCGATACTCCAGCTTTGTCTGTTTGAGGAAGAATTGCTTCCATGTCTGTGAGCCCAGGCACGTGGAGAAGTTGCAGAAGCTCCATTTCTTCAGACACAGGTTTCTGGAAACAGAGTCATAACCCCACCCCAGGCTGCCCATGGTCAGTCCACCTCCTCGGTAGCACTGGTCTCACGAACCCCTTCCTCACGGTGAGCGTCACTCACGCCTCTCACACGCAGGCCTCCTCGGTGCACAATCGTACGTCCTCCTCCATGAGACACACCTGCCTTCCCACCTTGCCCCTCCCTTGCTCACCTCCACAGGTGATGGTTCTCGGCAGCCCTATTCCATTCCTGAGGGAGAGAAAGGAAGGGGTGAGCAGGCGGGCAGCACCCAAAGGCTGGCTCTTCCTCTGCCACCACGTGTTCCGGGAGCAAGGCCCACACCGGTTCACCAGCCAGCATCCCAGCTCTCATGGCCCTCCCAGTCTGCGGGGGACGAGGACATGGTGACAGCAGAGGCCTGTCACGGCTAAGGCAGGCCCTTGGGATTCCTGGGAGAGTTTGGAGGGAGAAATGTGGACTTCCTGGAGCTTGAAACGGAAGCCGCAAGGACCACTTAGTACAGCAACTCCTAGATATCAGTTTGCCCTTTTCATTTAACAAAACAGGGGGCCTCAGAGGTGAAGGATGCGAACTCCCAGCACGCAATGTATCACTCCACTGTTCTGCAAATCGGTGCTCAAACTGGTCAAGAGAAGCAACTGAGGGGAGCCTGAGTGGCTCAGTCCTTTAAGTGTCCGACTTCAGCTCAGGTCATGATCTAGAAGTTCGTGAGTTCAAGCCCCGCATCAGGCTCTGTGCTGGAAGCTCAGAGCCTGGAGCCTCCTTCAGATTCTGTGTCTCCCTCTCTCTGCCCCTCTCCCAAGTGGACTCTGTCTCTGTCTCTCAAAAATAAATACACATTTTTTTAAAAATCAAAAAAGAGAGAGAGAGGGGCCCCTGGGTGGCTTAGTCGGTTAAGCGTCCGACTTTCGCTTGGGTCATGATCTCGCAGTTCATGGGTTCGAGCCCCGCGTCGGGCTCTGTGCTGACTGCTAGCTCAGAGCCTGGAGCCTGTTTCAGTCTGTGACTCCCTCTCTCTCTGACCCTCCCCTGCTCACGCTGTCTCTCTCTCTCTCCTAGAAATAAAAATAAAATAAAATAAAATAAAAAAATAAAAAATAAATAAAAAAGAGAGAGAGAGAGAAGCAACTGAAATCCAGGGGCATGGCTCTATGGGAGCTGAGCAGATGGGCCTGAACCAGGTAAATTTAAGCAAAGAGGGAGGCTGTGTGGGTATAAGGTTCCGGTAGCTAAGATCTCAAAACTGAGGGACCGAGGTAAAAGGGGGCTTGTGCAAAGACTCGTGGAGGGGTGTGTGGGGGGGGGTCAGACAGCGGGTTGTGGAGAGCATTTACCCTGTTCACTTGGGAAGCCTGGAGCAAGCTGAACGCGTCCAGGAAAGAGAAAATTTTGAACATCGGCAGATCAGGCAGCCGGAGCGCCATCACGCGCGGCCTGAGCCTGCATCCAGTCTCCTTTCTCCTCTCCAGTTGCTCTGAATTTAAAGGCCTGGCCCAGCTCTGCAGGCCCCGGGAGGACTCCCAGCGGCAGCTCATCTGGCTTTGATGGAGCGGGGCTGCAGGTGCGCGCAGGCAGGCGGGCGGCCCTCCCCTTAGGCCTCTTCCGGGGCCAAATCCACGCAGCACAGGGCACCCCTCCCTGCACTCGCCTGTTAGTGCTCATTATGGCAACGTGTTCGACACCTTTGTTTTTGCACTGTGAACTGAAAGTGCAGGATCTGGAGCAGCTCTCGGTGCTGATGAACTTTTCGAGACTCTCTAGGAAATTTTGACTGACCCGCTCACATTCGTTAAATTCAAGTCTGTGTGACACCCTCCACGTTCCAAATCACTGGGATAGGGAATCAGCTTGACACATTTATATGCCTATTTTGGGACATTGAATCTGGCCAGCATGGCCTATCTCCCAGCACCAACACAGCCCCTAGCGTTCTACCTTTGTGCACTTCACTTTCCAGCGGAAGGAGAAAGCATGGGTCACAGACGCCTGCGCAAAGGGCACAAGGCTTGTCTAAGATGACTCACAGGTGGTGCCTTTCTCTTGTGACCCAATACTTTTCTTCCAAGAAGTTAATAACTGATTGAGTATTTTCTTTTTTTTATTTTTAAGTTTATTTATTTAAAAAATTCTTTTAACATTTATTTTTGAGAGAGAAGGAGAGACAAGTGTGAGTGGGGGAGGGACAGAGAGAGAGGGAGACACAGAATCCGAGGCAGGCTCCAGGCTCCGAGCTGTCAGCACAGAGCCCACAAACCATGATATCATGACCTGAGCCGAAGTCAGATGCTCAGATGCTCAACTGACTGAGACACCCAGGTGCCCCTTAAGTTTACTTATTTTGAGAGAGAGAGAGAGAGAGAGAGAAAGAGAACGAGAGGGATGGGGCAGAGAGAGAGGGGAGAGAGAGAATCCTAAGCAGTTCTACACTGTCAGCGCAGAGCTGGACATGGGGCTCAAACTCATGAACCGTGAGATCATGACCTGAGCCAAAACCAAGAGTCAGATGCTTTACTGACTGAGCCACTCAGGTGCCCCTGATTCCAGTATTTTCTATGAGTTCCTGTCTGAGGCTTTCTTAAACTGCTGCCTCCAGCCTGACCCACAGTAGTGGTTTTCAGAAGCACCATTTTCCACAATGATATCTACTCTTATCCAAAACTAGACTGGGCATTTCTTTTTCTTTTTTTTTTTTTCTAATTAAAAAAATTGTTTTAATGTTTATTTTTGAGAGAGAGCAAGAGAGAGACAGAGTGTGAGCAGGGGAGGGGCAGGAAGAGAGGGAGACACAGAATCTGAAGCAGGCTCCAGGCTCTGAAATGTGAGCACAGAGCCCAACATGGGGCTTGAACTCATGAACCATGAGATCTTGACTTGAGCTGAAGTCTGTGGCTTAACCGACTGAACCACCCAGACTGGGCTTTTCTGGAATAAATGTCCTCTTCCTCAGAATTTGCAGTGGGTTAACTTTTCACACTGACAGGCCCAGAAAGGACAAACCTGACAACTATGGGGAGCCATATTTTTCGTTCTGTTGTATTAGGTTCATAGAAAACTGGTTTAAAGGGAATGTGGTTTGGAGAGAAATAAATTGTCATAAAGAAAAAAAATCTTGGTTTCAAGAGAGATAAAGGGAGTCTTACAATATATTTCATATCAATAATTCAAGTCCTTTCTATGTCCGTTTCCCTGAACCATGCCATTTTACTAATTATAAAATTAAAATACAATCTGTGGGAGCATCTGGGTGGCTTAGTCTGTTAAGCATTTGACTTCAGCTCAGATCATGATCTCATGGTTCATGAATTTGAGCTCCGCATCGGGCTCTGTGCTGACAGCTCAGAGCCTGGAGCCTGCTTCTGATTCTGTGTCTCCTTCTTTCTCTGCCCCTCTCCTGTTGTGCTGTCTCTCACTCTCTCTCTCTCTCCCTCAAAAATGAATAAACATTAAAAAATAAGTAAAATACAATCTGTGTTTTGGCTTACTGAATTCAAGTGAATGAACAAGCTCTTGACTATTCACTACATTTAATACCAACAAAAAATGTATGTTCAAATTTATTAGACCTTGATATACACCCTAAATTGTTTTCAAATATATTCATGTATGGACAAATAACACCTGGGGCTGCACACCTGTGAGAATGCCTGAAATAGAAAACAAGTGTTGGCGAGGATGTAGAGAAAAAGGAACCCTTGTGCCCTGTTGGTGGGATGCAAACTGGTGCAGCCACTATGGAAAACAGTATGGAGGTTCCTCAAAACATTAAAAATAGAACTACCTTATGATCTAGTAATTCCACTAATGGGTTTTTACCCAAAGAAAACAAAACCACCAATCCAAAAAGACATAGGCACCCCTATGTTTATTACAGCATTATTTACAAGAGCCGAGATATGGAGGCAGCCCAAGTGTCCATTCATAGACACATGGATAAAGAAGATATGGTATATAAGATGTAAATAAAATGGAATATTACTCAGCCTTAAAAAAAGAATGAAATTTTGCCATTTGCAACAACATGGATGGATCTAGAGTATAATGCTAAGTGAAATAAGTCAGAGAAAGACAAATACCATATGATTTCACTCATATGTGGAATTTTAAGAAACAGATAAAAAAAAGGGGGAAAGATACAAAAAACAGACTCTCAAATATAGAGAACAAACTGGTTGTTACCAGAGGAGAGGTGGGGGGATGGGTGAAATAGGCACAGAGGATCAAGAGTACTTACTAAGATGAGGACTGAGAAATGTATAGAATTGTTGAATGACTCTAATGGTCATTTGAAACTAATATAACACTGTATGTTAATTATACTGGCATTTTTTAAAGCCTCAAATTCAGAGAATTCCTAAAGAAAAACAAAAACAAAGTAAATATGTATCTACAACACTTGTGGGAAAAATCTTAAGTTTCCCAGTATAAACACTATAAGTATAGTGTACATACAGGGTATAATATAAATAACTACGCAAGTGGTTTGAATATACTCATAGTCAATTAGATGTGCCAAAAAGCACTCAATCCTAATATCTCCTTTGTCTAACCCTCTCTAAAATTTTATTTTAGTTTTAATATTTTTAATGTTTATTTATTTATGTATTTATTTATTTAGAGAGAGAGAGCATGCATGAGTGGGGGAGGAGCAGAAAGAGGATCCCAAACAGGCTCCGTGCTGTCAGCGTAAAGCCTGATACGGGGCTCAAACTCACAAACCATGAGATCATGACCTGGGCTAAAACCAAGAGTCTGACGCTTAACCTACTAAGCCAACCAGATGCCCCCCTCTCTAAAATTTTAAAAGCTGATCTCAATGTGGAATCAATAAAAGGACAAAATATTAAAAAAAAAAAACCCACGAAACAGCACATGGGATTGGAACTTGGTGATAAGCCTCCTTCTGGTTCTAATGGTCTAGGACATTGAATGTTAGAACTGATTTTCAGGTTGCTGCCTGCCTGTACCTTCTGTAAGGTGGGGATGATGATTGCAAATGACTGTCTCAGGATCTCAGTTTCTCTCTCTCTTTCACCATGTTTCCGAGTCTCTCTTTGATGAGGCATTCCTTCAATTTCTTCAGGGTTCTTCATTCCACCTGCCTCCAGCCTATGGGTCCCTGTGTCTGTATAACGAATGTGCATAATGGACGTTGTAAGTATGCAAGGCACTCTCCCTTTGTCCCTCCATTCTTCCCCTGATCTGGTAAATCACTTATCTTCACTTCATTAAGGTCTTTTAGTGAAGTTTTCCCTTGTTCTTTCATTTGGAACACATCCTTCTATGTCTTCATTTTTCCTAGTGTTTTTCTCTGTGTTGGGTTTTAGGCATTAGAGAAAGCAGCTACCTTTCCCCGTCTTGGCGGAGTGGCCTGTGTAGGATTAACCTTATCAGCCAACCCTGCCCTATCTCTGTGTTGGCTCTCAAACCTTGGTGATTGTCCAAGTAGCCTGTTTCATTTTTAGTGGCTCCTAGTAGTTGCGGGTGTGCCAGGACCTGTCATTGTCCCGAAGGGGAGGATCCCAGTCAGCACCTAGATTCAGGCCGATTGGAAGCCTGACGCTCAGGCAGCAACTTTTAAACATGTGCAAACATACCTCTTTCAGGGGAAGATGGGCATTTCTGTCTGCTTCCTCTGTGCCGAGCCCTGGGGTGATAGCCAGGGGAGAACTGTTTCTTTCTTCACTACTGTCCTGTTGAACCTATGAATACAAGCCCCACTGGCCACCAGAGCCAGGCTATCAAGAGATGTGTCCTCTGGGCAGTAGATACAAAAGCCAGGGCACCAGACATAGGCAAAATCTTATTCTATTTCCTTTCTAGAAGGAAACATTGAAACTCATTGAGGTATGTTGAATATTTAACCTCCTGATTCTGATGGTACAAGCAACCGGGATCTGGGGCTTCCTTGGGGGTAGAATCCCTTTTCTCCCTTAGCCAAGCCAGCATTTCTCTGCCCAAGAAACAGTGAATTAACCTAGTTAACCCTGCAGTTGTATAACTAACACCATAATGAAGATACAGAAAAGCTTCATTACTGCCCCCATTTCCCCTGTGCCCCCCAGAGCTGACTTCTAATAAACAAGTTTTTTTATTTTTCATTTTTTTAATTAAAAAAATTTTTTAGTGTTCATTTTTTGAGAGAGAGAGAAAGTGTGAGTTGGGGGGTGAGGGGAGGAAGAGAGAGAGAATCCCAAGCATTCTCCACACCACCAGCACAGAGCCCAATACAGGGCTCAAACTCATGAACCAGGACATCACGATCTGAGCTGAAATCAAAAGTTGGACACCTAAGTGTCTGAGCCACCCAGGTGTCCCGATAAACAAGTTCTTAATGAAGTCCAGTGTATCAATTTTTTCTTTAATGAACTATACTTTTTCCTTTTTCAGGTATATTTGCCTACCACAAAGTTACTTTTTGCTTGAA